TGCTTGGTAGCTCCCTTCCAGCCTCACCGATCTGCTCGTCGTCCCTGGAATGCATTGAGCGAACGCTCCTAGAGGGCCTTTGCACTACTGTCCCTGCCTGGAATGTTCTTTCCTCATGCGTCCCCATCCTCACTCCCCTACGTCTCTCAGGTTTCTGTGGAGAGGTCATCGTATCCAAGGGGACTCTCCTGACAGCTCTGCCCAGCACCGGCCACCCCGTCACTCCATCTCCTCACCCCGTTGGGCCTTCCTGCATAGCACTTACTACCTCCTAAAGTGTGTGTGTGTCTGATCATCCAACGTCTCCGGCTAAGTACAATCTCTCCTTGAGAGCAGAAATTGTACTCGGCTCACTGTGTCGGAGCCAGCACCCGGCACCGTCCTGACAGTCCGTGGGCACTCAGTGAATGCTGAATGAATGGATGTCGAGTGAATGATGACAACCTGACTCTCCAGACTGCGTGTGAGCACAGAGGAGGGACCACTTTCCAAACGCACTTCACTTGGAGAGGCCTCAGATGCTCTGTCATCAGTGCTGACTCCCTCCACGGACGAGAATACCCAGGTGGGTAGTCAGCTCCCTTCGCCATGACCTTGGCCTCCGCGACTGTTTTAAGTAACAGGCCTGAAACAAAGCATAGGCCCCAGACGAGGTGATGAGTTCCCGAAAGAAGGTATCGCATATCCCATCTGTTCAGTACATGTTTGAATAAAAAAGTACTAAAGGAAAAAGAGGGAGACATGGCTATGGAAAAACAGACCTTATAAGATGTGTGCTAGCTTAGCTTTCTTTGCAAGGGAGTTGGGACAGAGGCTTTGTCAGAGTCAAGGGAAATACCTTTGATGACCTCCTACCTTCCTTCCCTTCTCCTCGGTGTTTTATGTGACATTAGGAAATCGGAGAGGGCTTTATTCTCTATTAATCAGAGTATATCTTGGAAGATCAAGAAGATGTTCAATGCCCTTCTCACTATTTAATCACAAACTTCCACAGAGATAAAAAGATGAAAGTTACTTCTTAGAGAGATGGGTTTTTAATAGTGCTTTTCTAAAAACAGTAAGTGCTCTTTGTGAGAAAAGGAACAGTTAAGTAATGCAGAAGAGCGCAAGGAAGAAAGAAAAATGATCAGTCAAGACCTTATCCCCAAAGCAGCTGCAGATGACATTTTGGTGACCATTTTTCAGGATACCTCAATGCATACATGCAATGTAGATGTGTGGACTCCCTTTCACCTGCATGGGATAATATCACACATTTTACACCAACTGCTTCCTTCGCTTGATACTGTATTATGGCAGCATCTTTCTATGTCAAAACATGCAAATCTCTAACTCATTTTTTTCTTTTTTCTCTTTAACAAATTTAATAGCCTTTTATATTATTATTATATTATTATTATTATTTTAAATAGAGACAGGGCTTTGCCATGTTGGCCAGGCTGGTCTCAAACTCTTGATCTCAGGTGACCCACTAGCCTTGGCCTCCCAAAGTGCTGGAATTACAGGCGTGAGCCACTGTGCCCAGCCTATTTTTAATAGCTTTTAATGGAACAGTAGTATTGCATTGTATGTGTGATCTAGTCAGTTTCCAGTTGATAGATATTTAGGTTGTTTCCAACTTCTTGCTATTAGATAAGGTTGGATGAGCAACTCCACGGGTGTGGATTAGGAGGCTCTTCTCTCAGCTAAATCTTCAGTCATCTCTGGCAACTCTCACTCAGGAAATCCCGAACCACTGGTGGCCAATGGCCCTCGTCTCCATGCCCAGCCAGAAAACACTGCCTCAAAGGCCCCCAGTTCTTCGTGTCGATCAAATCGTTTCCATTCATGTGTGGGGAGGTGGGCTTGCTTACTTATTTTTGTTTTCCTAAAAAAATTCCGCAATGCTTTTATATTGTACTTGGCATCAATTGTTTACGCCCCTCTAGAATCCATCCCCTCATTTTCGGATGAGAGCAGCTCCTGAGGAATTACCCCTCTCCTGCTGCATAGAGTTCTGGTGAACCTGGAGGTGGAGGTGGGTGGGCACTTTTAAAACCCCATGTGGTTCCTTGAAAGCAGCCGGCTTCCACTCCATTCCTTCCCTCTCCCCCCACGTCCCACCCCCCACAGCCCCCAGGTCACAGGTTTGGAAGCTATGGGGGCTGGCATGAAAGCAGCTCGTAAGACTGAGCAGTATTCAACAGAGAGGCACCAGGAGACCTGGAGAAGTGGGTGTGCGTTATCTTGGGGGCCTTAAATATTCCCTTTCCTTTGCTTTGGGGCACAAGAGAACAGGCACAAAATAACAAAATAACTTCAGTGCTGTGTGGTTTTCTTCTTTAAAATTCTTCTCTTTCTGTCCCATCACTGAACTTGTCAGGGAGGCTTCTCTTGGCTAAACCCCACTGCGCTGGGTCAGAGCATGCCTCACTGTTATCAAGCTGTTGGACAGCTGAGGACGCTGAAGCACCCAGAAGCTACGTGACCCGCCCAGGATCAGGTGGCAGCAGCAAGCATCCTGGGACTGGCACTCTAACGGCAGGCACTGCGCTTGGCTCGGGGCGAGATGTTCTGGGGCACCCAGCAGCAGCAGCAGCAGCCAGGAAGCCCGGCTCCCATTACAGGATGAAGTCTCAAGCTGGGGGCTGCTCCTCTTTCTCTGGGTTCAGTGTCAAAACAGCCACCAAAAGAGGGGTGGAAGTCGCTTTGGAGGGTGTCTGGTTACAGACGCTGGAGGTTGGTGGCAACATTTTGACTTTTATTTATTTATTTTTTTTGAGACAGAGTCTCCCTCTGTCACCCAGGCTGGAGTGCAGTGGCATGATCTCAGCTCACTGCAACCTCCACCTCCCTGGCTCAAGCAATTCCCTGCCTCAGCCTCCAGAGTAGCTGGGATTACAGATGCATGCCACCATGCCTGGCTAATTTTTTTTTGCATTTTTAGTAGAGACGGGGTTTCACCATGTTGGTCAGGCTGGTCTTGAACTCTTGACCTTGTGATCCGCCTGCCTCGGCCTCCGTAAGTGCTGGGATTACAGGCCTGAGCCACCACATCCTGCCAACCAATGGTGGCAGCATTTTCATCACATCTGTCACCATCGTGCGGTGATTCGGAGGTCCCAGGGTAGGGGACTGAATAGTTCACTGTGGCCTTCCACTGACAACACCATGTGCCGAAGGGTATCAGTGGTTCAGCCTCGGTTATAGGGACGGAGGGGATGGTGGCAGGGAAAAAACGCACCCTATTGAAGGTCTGCTCCGAGCCAGGCTTCGTTTGGGGCACCTTCCCATAGACAGTTTCATGAGCTCCTCATGTCAGTGCTGAGTGCTCAGTCTACAATCTCAACCTCTCTCCTCCTCCTTTGGGTTGAGAAAACAAGATCGTCAGAGCTGCTTAGCAGAAAGTAGCCATTATAAGATGGAGACAGAATCTTATCTCATTTATCTCTTGGTTCCAAAGTTAAGCTTTATCCCCGTTGCTATCCCGGCCGTCAGTAGCACCTCGGGACAGGCAGAGTTTTGCCCCGAATCCCCCCGGAGTGAGAAGGGAAAAAGCACCGGCAAGCCTCAGACACCCCTGGCCCCACTGGCTTTGGCTCCCATGCGACGCGTCATCCGAGCAGAGCAATGTCAGAGGTTGGTGTTTTCTCCGAGACTCGCTGTGGGTCTCCCTGCAGACTGCGGTTGGCTCAAGGGCACCATGTTGGCTGCAATCCCTCAGAGTTTCATTTTCACGTTTTTATTGAAAAATCGAAATCTGGGGAATTAGAGCCTTTCCATATTGATTTTCCAGGGACAAGTGAAAATTGCATTCTGTACAGGACCAAGAAAGTGCCACCTTCCGTGGTAACAGGGCGGACAGCGGAGATGACGTGCAGGAGGAGGGACGAGGAGGGACGAGGAGGGACGAGGGGGGACGGGGGGCCACAGGTGCAGTTTCCGTGGCGTTTTTCAAAGTGAAAAGGTAAAAAAAAACCAATCTGGGTTCATAGAAAATGACTTCCGGAATTAGAATTTTATTTATTTGTCTGTTTACTTATTTTTATTTATTTGTTTGTTTTGTTTGAGACAGGGTCTCGCTCCCGTCACCCAGGCTGGAGTACAGTGGCGCCATCTCGGCTCACTGCAGCCTCCACCTCCTGGGCTCAGGTGATCCTCCCACCTCAGCGTCCTGAGTAGGGGACTACATGTACGTGCCACCACGCCTGCTAACTTTTTAATTTTGTTAGTAAAGATGGGGTTCCACAATGTGTTTAGTTGAAGGGAAAGTTGAGGAGAGACAGGTGAGAACTCTGGAAAACACGAATCTGAGGTTTCTCCTTTGAGCCCCTTGAGGTGGTGTGTCAGTCCACACTTAGCCCCTCCCCGGCCGACGTCACTCCAGCCCAGTGTTTTAGGAGTGTGGGGAGACCCAACCAGAGTTCTGGCTTATCCACTCACTTGGGGGTCCAGACCTCTGATCTGGTCTCAGATCGTTCTCTCCCACCTTACTATCTAGACAACCTTTCACAGCTTCCCTAAAGTCCACTGACTTCCCTGAACCTTGTTTTTTTTCCCTTGTAAATTGGGAGTCATAATAGCAGGGACTGCATAAAGCTGTAGTGAGGATTGACTGAATCAACCGTTGATTGATCAGATGAATAAACAAGATAACCCGTGTAAAGCACTAGGGTTTGATAGACAGGTGTCTGCTTTGTGTAATGACAATCTCCTATGTCCTGGCTAGGCCCAAACCCCAAGACATGTGAGGCCTCACGGAGCTTGTGGCATTCAGGTCAGGTGGATCTACGGGAGATGTGCTTTTCCACACTGGACTTGATTTCCTCTTTTCTCTTCCGTCATGGTCAATGCCTCCTCGCTGGTGCTGGGGGAAACCTGTTATCCCCCTGCAAAGCCGCCTTCTGGGGAGAGACATCCTGTGAGTTGATATCTGGAAACAACTGGTTCTTTCCTTCTTCCCCTTCCCACCCTCTTCAGCACCTGTAAAATGTCCTATTTTTTCCCTTTCCCGTATGCAGGAGAATTGTTAACATCAACCAGATCCCTAAAAGTGATTCTGGCAGCAAATGAGCATGTCTCTGCGAAGCAGGTGAAGAGCCCGGGACTCTGGGCTGGACGCATTGGCAGCTGCAGGCCTGAGAAGACCCCACCGGGCAGGCGGTGCTGAGCCCTAGTGCAGGATGCCCCCGGCTGTCCCCGAGGGAGCCCAGCTTTGAAGGTAACCCACCAACCCGCGAACGTTTCAGCCAGATGTGCAGCCCTCGGAGCAAGTGGTTAAACAACCGCTTTGAAGATGAAGCGCCCTCGGGGCGGGCTAAGTCGCTTTATTATCTCGTGGAGCCAGTGTCACTCTGAGGAGGGAGGCACCAGCTCCCAGCTCTGTCACCGTTCGGGAGTGAGTGAGAGGCAGACTCAGCCGGAAACGCTGAGTGCCAAAACAAGAGGAGCGAATAAAATGCCGGGGGTGGGAGGAAGGGGGACGGGTGGGTGCCCGGGCTTTGAAATCCTGCCACGGAAACTTCTCTCCCATGGATCCCCTTCCAACCTGCCCTGAGTGCAGCAACTGGACGTGGCATGTGACAGGCGCTGCCGACGGCTCGCGTTTCACACGTGCAGCTGTGAGATCTGGCACACAGGTGTTTGCTTCTGTGTTTGCCAGCTGCTCTGCAGCGCCCGGCTACAATGGAATAGGGGTCGGGGGGAGGGGAACCCTCACACTTGTTGCTGCCAGAAGGGAGGAGGGAGCTGGAGATTCCTGCCCCTGGCCAAGAGCTCAGCATTTGACTCAGGGCTGGGGTGGCCCCGATGCTTGCTTTAGAGGGTCCTGGGGCCTCTTCTCACGGACTCACCCAGGACCCAGCTGTGGCTGGGTGGGAAGGCGGGCAGGGCGGCTGGGAGACCACCAAGCAAGCTGGCCAGGGCCCCAGGAAACCCGGTTGGGAGGCAGAGCGCCTGGGGATAGGAGACCACTGGGTTCTTGAGTCAGGTTCCCACTTCTTCACCTCCGAAAATGGTGAACCTCAGCCAGCTTTCTTCCCCTCTCTGGCGTTAGTTTCCTGATCTATGAAGTGGAGTCGGGAACCCCTGATCCACAGGCCCTCCTCTGTGAGGACCCCGGGAAGCACTCAGGGAAGCAGCGTTCCTTTTGTTGTTTTCACCTGGAGGAGGTGGGGCCGGGAGGGATCCACCAGGCTCCTGGACCACATCCCTAGGCCCCGTATTCAAGGCTTCCCTGGCTGTTCTGGGTCTCAGGCTCAGATCTCACCAGCGCCGAGACACAGATCATTGGTTTCCTGCTCCTTTCCGTCCTCAGGAGGAAGAGGACTGGCAGTTCAGGACACCCAAGTCACCGAAGAAAGGTGGAAGCAGGGGAGCCTGGGATTGGCCCCCCAACCTGTGCCTGCTGGAAGCTCCTCTCCTTTCCGCAGCGTCTCTGCAGCTGTGACTGTGATGTGGAAGGCTGTCATCCACCGTGGACCCTCTAGAGGCCGTGGACTGTCTGCTTTGCCCATCACTCTGTGCCCAGCGCAGTGTCTGCATGAAGTGAAGACGTGATAAGTGTCTGCTAAGGGAGCGAAGGACTGAGTGGGTGCATGAGTGGGACAGTTTTCTCACTGCCTCAGCTGCTCCCAGCCCTATTTTAAGGACAGAGAATATGCATGTTTAAAGGACAGATGCGTGTCTAATGATCCCAGCATGCTGGGAGGCTGAGGCAGGAGGATTGCTTGAGGCCAGCAGTTTGAGAGCAGCCTGGGCAACATATCAAGACCCCCATCTCTGCCAAAAACAAACAAAATTAGTCCAGCATAGTGGAGTGCACCTGTAATCCCAGCTAGTGGAGAGGCTGGGGGAGGAGGATCCCTTGAGCCCAGGAGTTCAGCACTGTCGTGAGCTATGATCATGTCACTGCACTCCAGCCTGGGCAACAGAGAAAAGACCTCATCTCTTAAAAAGGAAAAAGATGGATGCATGATCACACATGACATGTTCAGTTCCATATCACATGTCACTCCCCGGCCTCAGACCTATCCCCTGCAGCACCTCCCACACTTCTTCTAGCTCTGTTGTCCTGCTTGGCTCCATGCTAATGTGCCCACGCCTCGCCTTCTCTTCCCACCTCCCCCCTCCTGCCCCATGCCCCTGTCCCTCGTCTCTCCTGAGGTTGGGAGTTGGGCCTGCCCAGGTCACAGCAAAGCTCATAGGAAGAAGAGTATCACGGGGATCCCAGAGGGCTGGGGCCCAGCTCTGCTTCGGACACAGACACTAACGGTTGTCTTTCTGGGTTTGCAAACTTTGTGGAATGAGCATCCTCTGCTCTATAGCCCTCTTGTGCATAGTTTAAAAGACACCGCCACAACCTCATCACTTTCTTTCTTTCTTTTTTTTTTTTTTGAGATGGAGTCTCACTCTGTCACCAGGCTGGTATGCAGTGGCGGGATCTCCGCCCACTGCAATCTCCACTTCCCGGGTTCAAGCGATTCTTCTGCCTCAGCCTCCCAAGCAGTTGGGATTACAGGCGATCGCCACCACGCCTGGCTAATTTTGGTATTTTTAGTAGAGACAAGGTTTCTCCATCTTGGCCAGGATGGTCTCGATCTCTTGCCTCATAATCCACGCACCTTGGCCTCCCAGAGTGCTGGGATTACAGGCGTGAGCCACTGCTCCCGGCCAGCAATACCACAGCCTCATCTCTTTCAAGGAGTTTGTTCCCCACTGACTGGGCTAGACAGGTGAGAGTGTCTTCCCCACTGCTGGGCCTGGTTCATGCGTGACCTATAGATGCTAAGCTAGATGTCTGGTACATGCTAATCTAGATATGTTGTACATACTAATCTGGATGTCTCTCCCAGAAGGGCCGCCTCTCTAGCCAAAACCCTCTCAACTACCCTTCTACACGTATTGCCAGTGTGCAGTTTATTTTCCCATCTGGACCTTCCAAGGGAACTGATGTTTATTTAGCACCTGCTGTGTGCCAGACACGGTGCTCGGCACCTTATACCAGCAAGTCATTGAATGGGCACCGTTACTCTTCCCTACTTCACAGATAAGAAAACTGAGGATCAGAGATAGGAAAACACTCCCAACATCATAGAGTTGGTACAGGGAAGAACTGGGATTTGAAGCCTGGTCTGCAGGAATCCTAAGCCTTTTCTCTTGCTGTGCCATTCAGAATGGGGATGAGCAAATACCCACAGGCTCAGGGCCTGCATCCTCTCTCTCCAGGTAACAGTGTCCTCTTGGGCCAGAATGCCATTTGTTTGTTGAGTCATTCATCCAGCAAGTAGGTACTGGGTACCTTCTGTGTACCAGGCCCTGTTCTAGTAGCTGGAGAGACACTGGATTGACAGGATCTCCCCTTCTAAAAGTTTATAACACAGCACAGAGGCAAAGTTTAAATGGATAAGCACCCAATTTAATTAGTTGGTTGGTTATAATGGTCCTAAGTACCATGAAGTACTAAGTACTATGAAGTACTATAATGGTACTAAGTACTATGCTGTGTTGGGAGGAGCATGTCTGGGGAAATCAAGGCAGGCTTCCCTGAGGAAGGGACAGTATTTCCACCTTTGCTGTCAACCAGGCTTGTGTCTTAAAGAGTAGTAACGCCAGGGAAGGACAGTGTCCCAGCAGACAGAGGGAGGAGTGCCCACACTGTCCCATTTCAGACAGACTTTGGCTGATCGGGCATCACCCGAGTCTTCATGTTCACCTCTGAAAGGATTACAAACATGTTTAAGAATGCCCAAGGGAGGAGAACCCCGTGTCAGAACAGGACCCGTGATATTTTGGCACTCACGGAGCCACGGGCAGACACTGTGTCTGTTTGGGACTGTATTTTTCCTGGTGCCTGAGGGATAGTCCTGGTGACCCTCACTGCGGCCACTTCCCCAGGAATGGAAAATCACTTGCCAAAAACATAAGCAGAGCATATAATAATTGGCAGGACCCAGGCAGCTAGTCACCATTCTCTCTCCTCCTGCCGTTCCTCTGATCCTGTCTGGAGGACCTATTCTCTGTTTTCCACCACAGGCTTGCTTTTCTCTTGAAAACACACAGAACAGCTCTTAGAAGCTCTCTACTTAATCCAGGTGGAATCTCCCTGTGGCCACAGACAGCAGCCCAGGCAGGCCTCAGCCAGGAGTCTGCGGAGCCCCCGCGGTGATGAGACAGGCCACAGAGAAGGCAGAGGACAAGCCCAGGTGCTTCCAGCCTCTCCCTCCTTCCCTGAGGACTTTGGTTTCTGATGCGTAGAATGAGCCCCGGCTTGGGTCCCTCCTCGGTCACCCTAACAAACCTGTAAAGCTTCCTTTCCTGTTGCTTTGGAAACTTCCAGAGTTGTTCCGGGCAAGTTGGGCATCAAATCTCCTTCCAAGACACGAGCTAGCTGGAGGGGCACAGGAGATGCTTTAGCCCCCTCTTCCTACTAACAAGGTGTTGAGGGCACGCGGCTGCGTAAAGGGAAACAGTGAGATATTTTCCACAAAATCCCAGAAAGGAGCCGCGGTTTCCAATCTTGTCCTTGTCCTTGCTCAGCCGGGCACGCAGTGGAGCCCGGCACGCAGAGGTCCATACGCGATCTCCCAGACCACTCTAGGATCTCCAGGGCTCAGGAAGATGAATGGCAATCCTTCCCACAGAGCGCTTTACGGAGTCCTGACTTCCAAGCAGCCAGTCCTCCGAGGAGTCACTGTTCAGCCCCTGGAAGGAAACAGAGACCCCGGTTGGGAGGTGGGCTCTCGGCAGCTGGAAGGCCGTGCAGTGAGCTCGGCCGACAAACTGCCCCACACGATGCTGCCTTACCTGGTTGGAAAACAAATGGCGAATCCACTGGCTCGTTGTGCCCACAGGCTGAAAACCAGCCCTTGGAGTTGTTTGTTTGCCAATGCCTTGACTTGAGTAGGTGTCTTGGCTGCTGAACACAGCCTTAGTCAGAGCACTTTCCTTTTCTTTCTGGCACGGAGACTTATCCACACTTCAACCTTTAGCAATCTGTCTACCCTTGAAGCATCAACATCCGTTATCTATCAACTGGGGCTTTCTCTGAAGACCGGTGAGTTAGCAGATGTGTTGACTTTCAAATGGAGGGGCGTAAAGACTGCACGTTCCAGCAGTTATTTTCTTTTATTTTCTTCTTATTTCTTTGTGGCCCATGGTCTGCTCACTTTTCACTCAGCAGTTGTATTGTCACTGACTCCAGTTTCCTTTGGACCATTTCTCCATAACTCAAGGGCTTGCTTTCTTCTCGGTGACTCTGCAGATGCGGGGTGGTGGGATGTGGGGGGGTCTCATGAAATCTTAAGCTTGGAAAGGTTGGCAGGGATTGTCTAACCTGTCCCTGAACACTCTCAAATTCCCCAAGGGTTTTTTGTTTGTTTGTTTGTTTGTTTTTTTTAACAGGGTTTTGCTTTGTCACCCAGGCTGGCGTGCAGTGGTACCATCACAGCTCACTGTAGCCTTGACCTCCTGAGCTCAAGAGATTCTCCCACCTCAGCCTCACAAATAGCTGGGACTGCAGACATGCGTCACCACCCCCAGCTAATTTTTAAATATTTTTTAAAGATGGGGTCTTGCTCTGCTGTCCAGGCTGGTTTCAAACTCCTGGGCTCAAGCAATTCTCCTGCTTTGGCTTCCCAAAGTGTTGGGTTTACAACTACAAGCCACCACACCAGCTTCATCCCATTTTAAGCAACCATATAATGTGCATCATGTCAGCCCTTATGGTCTGGAGGTTTGTGAGGAAAATTGCTTTTGGGGGGCCCTTAAATCTCCCATTTCCCTGTGTCATCTACACCTCGTCAATACAGACTGGTCTGTAGTAGCCGGGAAGAGCTGTAGAAGTCTGTTTACACATCCTTCCTTCTTTGAAAAAGGAAGTGTGTGTGTGTGTGTGTATGTTTACATCTCTTTGACTAATTTATGAGTGTGGCATTCGATGATCTCAAACCATAAATAACCTAATAGCCTTGAACTGACTCAGGAAGCTCTCCAGGCCTGCAACACTTTTCAGCTCCCATTGAGAAGAGGTCTGTTGCACCCAGTCCCTTGAACATGAAGATTTAGAATTTGGAAACTGATCCATCCTTTTCCTGAGAAAAATGGAATAGACCACTCTGTGGGCGCTGTGACCAGGAAAGATGTGAACCGCGTTTAGGGACTAGAAGGCTTTTCTGGAAGTGGACTTGTGTATCTTGTTTCTCACACGAACTTTGGCGTATGATGCATTTGAGATCGATGGAGAAGTCTACCCTCTTTTTCCTTAGGAAGAGCTGCTGTCTATTGAAATGCGGATGGAACTGATTTATAATCAACCCCCAGTGACAAGTCAGATCTGTGCTACTGTTATAATCAACCCTCTGAGAGACGCCACAGATCCCAGGAGTTTCCTTTAGTTCAAGGAAAATTGAGCCTGTCTTTTTTTTCTTTTCTTTTTTTTTTTTTTTTTGACACAGAGTTTTGCTCCTGTGGTCCAGGCTGAAGTGCGATGGCACGATCTCTGCTCACTGCAACCTCCACCTCCCAAGTTCAAGTGATTCTCCTGCCTCAGCCGCCCAAGTAGCTGGGATTACTGGCATGTGCCACCACTCCTGGCTAATTTTGTATTTTTAGTAGAGATAGGGTTTCTCCATGTTGGTCGGGCTGGTCTTGAACTCCTGACCTCAGGTGATCCATCTGTCTCGGCCTCC